AACTCAATTGTTTGGCATTTTTTTAAAATTAATTATTAGTATTCATTTGTCCTATGCAGATTTATTAAATTATTTGCATTATACAAATACAAATGCTAGAAGCACACAGTTCTTGTTAGTTTTGTTGCTATTGTCAATTTGTCTAGACTGTCTTTAGAGAATTTAAGAGTACATTACCCCGACACCGTCAAAGATATCAGTTTTTGTCAAAAAAATTGGTTTTCAGATTTTTATGTAGTTGGATAGCCCACTTGGTCTACGTTTGGAAACACTATGAATAGTCTGAAATCAGATGCTTTTTCACGATTTTACACAAGATCTTCTAATAAGGTTAGAATCAGGAAAAACAAATTCTTTGAAAGTGTCAGTTATTATTCTCTTTTTAACTTTTGATAGATTTTCCTATCATAGGAACTTTATCAAATATGTGTGAAATAACAGATGCTGCAAGCTTCGAACAGGTGGACTCGTGTCTTGTATTTCTTTTCTTGCAAGTATTCATTGAATAATGTAATTATTTTGACAGTACTATGTCACAAGAGGCGCTTTCTGACACAACTATGCGTTCTCTTTTCTTTCATCGGCTTCATTCTTTCACGTCTACATTTATTCTTTTCTTCTTCTCATCTTATATCTATTTAACCAGGTGATATTGTTGGTGTGGATGCGAATAGCTAGAGCTGGTCGTGGACATGTGATATGAATACTCACACCCACAACTCATAGACTTTTTGTCTCTTCTAAACTGAGATCTTCAGATGCTGTGCAAGTAATGCGCAAGACTTCATTTGATCCATCATATACTGTAAAAAAAGATTTATCAGTTTGCAATACGATATAAACCCTATTTCAGAATAAAAAACGTTTTTTCAATGTAATCGATGACACATGGTAGACTAAGACCGATGTGTTTCCTTTACCGTTTTACTAAACAGAAACATTCACTTTCAATTGCAAACTTTATTTGGCATTTTTCTCAAAACGAGTTGTTTCAATTATTTCTTACGTGCATGTTTCAGAGTTCTCAGTCATATTACATGTTAGGAAGTTCAGAAAGATTTTTAACTGAAGAACAAAATGTAACTATCAACCTAGCAGTACCAGACCTGTTATTTTAGACTTCGGAGGAAAGTTCCCCAAGTGATCAATCGCTTTTTGTAGAAACATACATGATTTTATGCAGTTCACCGCGCTGTTTCCGAATATCAGGGTCTTAGGGATCCTTAGGCCTTTCTAGGTTCCGTGTCATTACTCTGGATCCATTTTTGAAAAGGGTGTTTCTCATCCAATTTAATATTTTAATCAGTCTACCATGTATCACTAAACAAAATATCTTCAGGAATACTTTTTTGATAGACACCTCAATCTTAAGTTTCAAATGCTAAGCTATAAAGCAGAGAAGTAATTCGTATATTGACTATATAGAAACAATCATCTGACATTTCTTTTCTTTTCTTCATCATATATTCAAAAATCGATCATAACTGTGTGATATGTAACAAAGTATATAACAATAAGAGAAATAGAAAACACGTATGCTATTTTCTCAAAACATAAAACATTGACACTGTGAAAACATATGCCTAACACAAGTGACTAATTGAGCGAGATTATGTAATGCGATACATAAGATAAAATTATTTCTTTATCCTTTCATTTTATGAAAAATATCAAGTCCATAAGGACACTTGCATATTTAGTCTTTTCTTCGTACAGCCCATTTCAGTATTTGAAACTTAAGATTGAAGTGTCTATCAAAAAAGTATTCCTGGGGATATTTTGTTTAGTGATACATGGCAGACTGATTAAAATATTAAATTGGATGAGAAACACCCTTTTCAAAAATGGATCCAGAGTAATGACACGGAATCTAGGAATACTTAAGGGCGACTAAGACCCTGATATTCGGAATCAGCGCAGTGAATTGCATAAAATCATGTATGTTTCTACGAACAATCGATTGGTCACTTGGGAGACTTTCCTTGTTAGTTTGTTTTTAAGAACACTTTTACAAAGAGAATGAACTGAATGAATCAGTTAAGTATGAATATGATGTGGAAATAATGGAACATCATCCTACATAGGCAGCTAGTTATTTTCTCGATCAGTAATAAAAACATTGTTATATTTTCGAATGTCATTAGTAGTGAACGTCATTTTGTTGTTTATGAGGATTTTCTACTAACTAAAATACAATGTATCTATGTTTCAAAAGTCATGGTCACTTAATAAATGCATAGAACCTCATTACTAATCAAACTTAATCGAAATCTATTGGTTTATTTAAAAGAGGAAACTATTAGGTTTTTCTTCTTCAAGACCAAGCTATATCAACGCTGTAGAAAAGGTAGCATTTATGAATAGAATACAAAAATGAGGCTTTTTTTCAATGTCGAAAGTAATATGCTACATTTCTCTTCGATATTTCGTCGAATTTAGATCGTTATTAGAGACTTCAGAGCATTCGAGTCTGTCTTTATGAGTTTCGAAACACTCATTCTGATATAGTCTTGAGAAAAGAAAGAGTCAATTCTACTAAAAAGATGACTTATGAAACAATCTAACGTACTCGTTTTTTTGTTTACAATATTTTTCAAAGATTTTTAATCAATCTGCTTTCAAGAAATGCATCAGTTATTCGATCGTTGTGCAACATGTCGAAATATGATTGTAAGCCAATAATGAAAGATCTAAAGACCGTAATAACAATTGAAATTCGACTAAATATCGAAGAAAAATGCAGCATATTACTTGCGATATTGACAAAAACCTAAGTTTTGTATTCTATCCACGAATGCTACCTTTTCTACAGCATTGATGAACTTGGTGTTTAAGAATAAAAACTTACTATTCTCCACTTTCAAATAAAGAAAACAGGTTTGGATTAAGCTTGATTAGTAGCGGATTTATATGCATCTATTAAGAGATCATGACTTTTGAGACACACGGTATTTAAAAAATAAAACCGTTGCCATAGATTAGATTTTTGTTTGTTGTTGATGCAATGTGTGTTTTTATCTCTATGTTTGACATATTTATTTACTAAATTGTTATGTAATAATAAAAAGAAGCAATATATTTGAATGGGTAGGCTCTTTCTAGAAAGTTTTCATTTATACCGAATGTTCAACAAGAATAGGATGTCAACATTGAAATTTTGACCTACGCGTTCTTCAATGACGGACTATAAACGATAATGACAAGTATACATTAGTCTTCTATGACTACTCCTAAAAGTTTTCGTCTCGTTAGCCACATGTCTGTCTGTATTTATCACCAAATGAATAGTATGATTCATATCATTAGTCAAAAATTCGTTTCAACTCATTTTTACTACTTCGTGTTTCCTGCACTAACCAATCCAATATTCAATAAATTTAGTCGTTTTTTTAGCTCTGAAATATTCATATCAGATTATTCGAGATATCAATGAATTCATTTTTTCAATATTATTGATACATCAATTAATACAAAATGTTGTGCTTATAAATGTATCTTTCAAACATCAATAACAATCTTTATTGCTTTTTATATAATTTACTATTTTAGTATATATATATATATATCTGAATATTTTTTTTCAGTGAGATTCAATGTAAGATATCACTTGATAATATCTTCTTATAAATGCTCTGAATATTGTGTTCATGAGCACTGAAAAACCTTTAGAAATTTGGAATCACGAATATACATATCTCATCTATTCATCGTGACCGTATATAAAGTTCTAGTACATTATATCTGTAAAGCATATAATGTTAATCTAACTAATGGAGTGTCGTTCCATTTATTTTAGTGTTTACAAAGCTGTTTAGTCTCAGTATACTTGGATGATCAATTCAGTGATTTCGTATCTTTAAATTGTTGATCATTTATGAAGATACAAATAAATTTGAGAGACTAGTTTCAAATCGTAATTTGAAATAATGTATTTTTTGTCGTGGTTTAATTTTAATGTTTCGAAAGATAAAAACAATCATATTGAATGAATACGACATTTTAGTACTTCTAGATCGAATATAATGATGTACCCAATATTTCACTATCTTAAGATAATATTTTTATACGCAGAACGAAAAACTATGATTGCATCTCGCTGTAAATATATATACACTCTTACCTATTGATATACATTGTTTTATCAACAGATAACCTTAAAGATATAATAGATCAGTAAAAAACAGACAAAGTTCAACAATCTAAAGGTAAAATTTTCTTTTTTCACCATTCGTTGAGAATTGTTGAAAGGCGTTTATATGCATATTACGTGTTTACAAGGGTATTTTTGTTTCATTTATTTTTCTTTTTTCTAGCTTTGATGTAATGTCTTTTTCTTTCTTCATAGGTATCCTCCATTCATCAATGACATGTACATATTTCGTTTTGAATGCACAGCGAACTAATCTTTTAGGTTTTAGAGCAGAAATAAGTGTCTGCTCATATGCTCAAACTCTCGTTCCGAACACTTATTGCCAGTCGATGGAAGTTTGAGAAAAAACATTTGTTTGGGCAAATTTTTTTCGGAATTTAACCTCTCGAAACATTTGCTCAAAATTATTGAAGCTATAGAAATTCTGAAATATTTTCTCACTCGAGAAAATTATTGCTTTTTATGACAGACTCTGCCCTTCGGTGTTAGACACACATAGAATGTACTCAAATAGACATCTGATACTGAAGTATTCGCTGATAAAACGACAGTTGGCGAATAGAATCCACTAGTAAATAAAAAGTAATAATCAATGAGCCATAGATATTTATTGAATTGGCGTCTTGTTCTTCCTTTTCGCTAGGTTTATTTAAATGAATAGGATGATGACTCGTTTTTCTTTTTTCTTTCTTTCTATTATCAGTTACTCTCTCAGTCAACTCATTTATCGAGGTAGAAAATGTACGCAAAAAATCCTCTAATAGGTACGGGTATAAAATATACAATTCTATTCTCTTTTCTCTTTTTCAGAGTAACAACCAGAAGGGCTATTTATTATTTTTGTTTATTCATGGTAACGTTTATATCTCTACACTCTACATTGTGGTATATATAGAAAATAAAAAATTGTTTCTTTAAGTTATATCAAATATCTCGTAAAACAATAGCAACAAACACTAATAACAGTGTCGATGCTTGGTTTTTATCAAGTGGTCCTGAGGTAATCCAATACTTACACAATTCGGCACACTATTCGATAAATACTCATACTAATAATATTAATTATAATGATAATTCACTAATTGGTTATCAGAAAACCTCTGCACATACAGATGATTTATTTTATGTAAAAGATACACCTATGAACAATAATTATAATCAATATCAACAGCGTATGTGTTCTTGTTCAGAAAATAGTTCGACAGTATTTGCTACTGATACATTATCAGGATTTAATTTCAGTCATGGTGCTAGTTTGTCCGATCTCGTTGAACACTGTAGTACGTTTAGTTCAAATACATCATCCTCCGGTATATGCAGTACATTTTCTGACCTTAGACATGAAGAAAATACATCAATGTCATCCGAAGAGCTTGATTTTAATCTTGGCTTTAACCAGATTAGTAATAATGATGGTATTGAAGCAACTAATCTTGATGAAATAGATAAATATGAACAAAATGAAGAAGACAATCAACGAACCTCAAATAAGAGCAATGACAGTTAGTAAAATAAAATGAAATGAAATGAAATTTGGTATTGTTTTTCTTCTTAGATACAGCAACATTACTCGATTTTGGTGAATCTAATTTAGATGCACATATGAATGAATTAGAAGGATTTCTTCGTAAATCTCTTAGTTCAACAACTCTTAATGGTCATGTTGAAATTAATAATGATGATACAATAATACATAACCAAATAAAGCAACAACAAGAACAGCGTGCATCATTATTAGATGAGTCAACATATGCAGTATGCTCACCAGATTGTTTCTCAGTGTATACTAAAAATGATGATCATGAAAACGATACAACGCGAAATAATATTGGTACACGTTCCAATTCACTGGGTATTGTTTTATTAGATAGAAAACCAGCTTTATTGGATAAACCACCAAAAAAAGTCGTTCGTTTCGCCGATATGTTGGTATGTTTTGTGTATCTTATAAGTAGATAACAATGACGTCCCATACATAGGATACGAAAAAAATTGTATAAAGACCATGTAAATGAAATTAGAGTGGTACAAGATCAGGAATAATTATGGTTAGTGCAGAATAGAGTACAGTCGCAGTACTCGGGAGGGTAAGAGAAATATATACTAGCGCTTACAAGACAACCATAATCTTACCCTACCCTGGAACGTAGAGTTAGCTAAGATAAGAAAAAATGTGGGCTAAAATACACTTATAGGTTCTATAGCGCAAGGTAGATTCAAGACATGGTAGTCTCATAATAGAGCCGGAGCAGGGTGAAGAAAAATTCCATAAAATAGAGTAAGCGTATGAAGCAAAGCTTATACTGCATATCTCTGAATGAACTCAAATGGAGAGAGACGTCCTCACATCTTTTTTTGTTAGTTATGGAAAAAAATTGTTGTCCTTGAAAACAGCTTATCTTATCAAAGACTAGAATTTTGAATAAGATTTCTATACTTTAGACTTATGTTTTGTAAAATATTTGCTTGCCAATATGATTAATCGTTAAGTAATCTTGACCTATTTTGGTTTTCTATGAGTTATTACTTCGTAATAATGAAAGTAAAGTTTCGAAAGTGAAACTATAGAGATATCATCAACAAAAGTAAAGTCAGTCCATTTTCATTAATTTTTTCAGATAGAGAATGACACATTTCAACAGTAGCTTTATTGAATATAAACATTGAAATATTATTCCTTTTTCTGATGCAGACATATACAGAATAGTCTAACTTGTAATTTGAGTGTATTCCAACGAAAATGTTCGGTACATATAAACATATATTCTAGAAAATTTTTTTATTCTCTTTTCTTTTTATAACATCAAAACTTAGTATAGGAGCATCAAGTGTTC